ATGGAGGACGCAGCAGCGATTTCCCAGCCGTCGCTGCTGACAGGTGAGGCTGTGCGGGCGTTGAGCTCAAAAAAAAAAGTCGTCCAAGACCGACAGCGGCCGCTGTCGGGGAGGCGAGTCTCGAGAGGACAGCGTCCGCGGCGACACCGGCGGCAGATCCTGGTCAAAGATGAACTGCGGTTGGTCTTGCTGGCCTTTGTCGCAGCGGCTTCCGTACGCATGCCGAGCGTATCGACCCGTGGCGCGCGAAGAGCGGCGAGGGAGGCGCCAGAGGCGCCGCCCAGGGGGTCTCAGCGTCGACCCAAGAAAGCCGCGCGGACCTCCGAAAGTCTACGCTTACACTCGGGACGGGTTGCCGAGGACACCCGAGGGAGCACGCGACCACTCTGAGGGGAATCCCTGCTGCAGACGCGCAGAGGCCACGAGACGCACTGGACAGAACGCCAGACCCAGGACACGAGACCCTGGCAGCATGATCTGCTCAGAGCGTGGACCCCTCGGGCTCGAGCCCTCCCCCGGGACCCGCTCCTCGTCCCGAGCAGTTGCTCGGCGGCCTCGCGGCCCGGCGAGGGCTCTCGGGATCCGACCAGTGGCCCAAACCCCTGCGTCGTGAAGCCCTGCCAGCCATAACTGGGGGAGCTGTGGTCCTTACCCCCCTGGGGGAACCCATCGCATCGACGATCTCTCGAGAGGGGTGTCGAAATCGATGGGCCCCCCAGGGGGGTAAGGAACACAGCTCCCCCAGTTGTGGCTGGCCTGGAAGCTGTTCGAAAGCCGAGGAGTCACCAGGGCACCCAGGATTTTGCAGGGTCGACCTGCAAGGAGCAGCCAAAATCGCATCGGGAAATCGGGTCAGATCGGAACACGCGTCGGATCGACCCGCGTCTGCATGGAGGCGGAATCGGATCGAACCGGCCGCGCCAGGATGCACGACAGCACCACCCGAGCATCGGGCCGCATCGGACCGTCGGAACATCGGAATTGGATCGGATCGGGATGGCCAGAATCGATGTCGAACCAGATCGACCAGATCGGATGTGGCCCTGCAGGATCGGTGTACACACCGCCCCTGAGAAAAAAGGCAGGGAGATGTTTCGAGGCCCTCCCAGCTTCCAAGAAGCCTTCTTAGAAGCCTCCAGAGCCTTCCGTGAGCATCGTTTATCCTATCCCGATCCACAGCGGCGTGGCCTGGGCCCCACTGGCCGATTTACCCCCCTAGATGGGGACATAGGCCGTTCCCTTCGGGTTTCGAGCGGTGTATCCCCATCTGGGGGGTAATTTGGTGGGGGGTCTCGAAGGGGATGGGGATGAGGATGGGGGTCATACACGAGACTGATTCCAAGAAGAACCCGGCCCTCTAAGAGGCTCCCGCTGCCGTCGACGTGGATAATGCAGGGTCGACTGGCTTTGGGGCCATAATTTGGGCCTCCAGCGGCCGCTCGGGACAAGTCGGGCACCCATGGGCCGCTCTCGTTGAGGCTCGTCGTCGAATCATCCCGAGTAAAGAAAACCCAGCAGAAAAGACGAAAGCGCCCCGAAAACCCTGAACAACGATAGTCTGGGGGGCACCCTGGATTCTCCACGATCGACCTGCCCACTCAGACATGCTTGCGGGCCTGAGCATTGCTCAACCGATGTCCATCGCCACTGACATCGCCTTGGTCCCACCAACCGACTTAACCCCCCTGGGTGGGTATGCGTGCTGTTCCCTTCGGATTTCGCAGGACCTATCCCCACCTTGGGAGGGGCTGATGGCGCTAAGACATCATGGCCCAGCCAGTGGGGACGGGGATCGATTCCCAGACATCCGACGATACGATTATTTCAATGTGCGAAACCCTGACGTCCCAACCCCTTCCCCAGGGCCGTTTTGTTCGCCCAACCCATGCTTTGATAATCCAGGAGCCGAAAACGGCCCTCGTAGGCCGAAATCGAAGAAAAACTACCCGAGTGAACAAAAACGGATCGTCGGACCCACAGCTGCGAGGTCTCGAATTCTCACAACGTGGATCCCTGAAGGTCTAGACCCCTTCCCCCTGGACCAGCTTTTCATACCGAATCGACGGTTGATTTACGATCCTAGGGCCCGGCACGGGCCCCCCCAAAGGCAGCACACTCCCAAAAACCTCTCATCATGATTTGCTTCACAACGCGACGGGGTCAAGGTTCGGTGACGCTGAGTGCAGGCACGGAATCGGGGGCAAATCGAATCGGCCGAGCCAGGCTTCACAGCAGCGCCATGCGAGCCGCGGGCCGCACTGGACAGGCGGAAGATCGGAATTGAATCGCATCAGGCTGGCTGGAGTCGACATCGAACTGGATCGTTCGGATCGACATGAACTGGCTCAGGGGGTGAGACATCGAGCTGGAATCGGCGATACCTCGCCGATGGATAGGCCATAGGCCATCGTCGGCGGCACCGCACGTTCCTCGGCGCCGTGGGCTATCAGGCCCCTCATCGGCGATCAATGGCCGATTCGGGGTCGATGCGTCCCCCCCTGAGCCTATCCCCTCTTACGTTGCCCTTTGAGATCTGGGTTTCGTGATGCTGCGCGACGTCCCTAGACTCTACAGGAGCAAACAACGCCATGAGCATCAGCTTTCGGAGGTCCGCGCGGATTTCCTGGATCGGAGCTGGGCACCATCCCTGGCGCGCGGAGCGCGCCTGGGGCGGCGCCGGAGACGCTGCCAGGTGGTGTCCAGCGCCGATCCAAAAAAAGCGGCGCGGACCTGCGACAGTTTATGGGACGCGCCGAGACATACGAATAGTATATATATATATATATACATGAATCATCCTTGGAGGCGCACGTCCGACCCGAACATAAGTATACCCATCTTGCAGTAGATCGTTTCCCGAGCGGTGTGGCCAAAGAGCGCCCGCCACGACGCATGTACTATAACATTTCTCGGTGCGCGCGTCACCCCTGGGAGGCGACGCACATATAGTATAAGTATGTTGGGGTGACGCCGAGTTTATGTTTATGCAGTTTGCTGTTCTTCGAAAGCTTTGCCTCTTGCCGGCGGCGCGCCCAGGGGGAAGTGAGAGGGAGCAGGCCTTCTCGGAGGGCGGCGGGGCTTCTCGGAACCCCTCCGACCTTCTGAGCAGCGCCCCGGGCCTTTGGAGAAAGCTCCGCGCCAGCGAGAGGCTAGCAAGGGGCACTCACGAGCGAGTTGGCCGGCGGGCAAAAAGGAGGGGGGGGGGACGGCCGAGAGGAAGAAGGGAGGCTCGGACGTCGAAGAGTTCGACGACGAGCAGCCAGGGGGGGCAGCAGCAGCCAAGGGCGCAGGCCAGGAGGGCCCCAGACACCGACGGCGACGAAAAAGCTTCGTATTGAGTTGTGGTCGGTGCGTTCAGGGGGTCCTCCCAGATGGAGTGCGAGCAGATGGGGTCGGAGGATCGTTGCGCACTGCCGACGCATCGCCGATGCATCTCCGATGCATCGCCGACGTCGGCGCGGAGAAAACCTGGCTCCACATCGAGCTGCATCGCCGATGAATCGGCGATGAGGCGCGCTCGTCCGACCCCAGCTGCCATGACCCCACATGCGAGGCCCAGAACGTCGGAGCTCTGGGTCTGCCCTCCTCATCCCTCCTCCTCCTCCTCCTCCTCCGAAGAAGAAGAAGAAGATGAAGAAACTGCTTTCACAGTGTTTGCTGACCCTGTGGTTTGACACGAGGCGCCACGAGCTAGAGAGATCGGGGATGTTAGACTATCTCTCTCTCTCTCCCTCTCTCACTTCCCCTCCCCCCCCCCACACACAACAAAATGTTTAAACAACTATCCAGGCCTTTCTACGGTCACCAGCCCATCCTCCTCCCTCATCCTTCTCCTATTCCTCCTCCTCCTCCTCCTCCTCCTTCCTCCTCCTCCTCCTCATCCTCCTCCTGCTCCTCCTCCTCCTCTTCCTCCTCCTCCTCCTCTTTATCCTCCTCCTCCTCCTCCTCCTCCTCCTCCTCCTCCTCCTGCTGCATCTTCTGGGGAAACCAACAGGTACCGATACCGCTACCCCCCGGCCCTCTCCCAGGGTGCGTTCCAACCAGAATTTCGAAGTGAGTCCAGCGGCGGCGGCGAGGGCCTCCCAGGAGGCCCAAAAAGGGGAAGAACAAGGCAACGGTAGCGGTATGGGCACCTCCTTCTCCTGCCGCCTCCTCCAAGGTGGCGACATCCGAAACCTACCCCCACCGACCATCGACTGAACTGATGGGAGGCGGGGGCAGGGTTCTGACCTCGCCACGCGTTCGACGAATACCGAACCCTACCCCACCGCCCATTGAGTTGCCTGAATCGTTTACCAGCGAGGGTAGGGCTCGGACGGATTTCGCCGCTGATCCTCGGGCACTCCGCCCGCCCATGGGGGCGAGGGTGTTGGTAGTGGACCAGGAAGACAAAAGTCCCTCCCCTGGGGCGTGGCTTCTGTGCCAAACATGGCCCCGTGGGGCGGAGTCTGACTGGGCTGGGGAGGGCGTGGCATTTTGCGGCGAGCGAGGGGGGAAGCGAGAAGGAGCGGCCTTCGAGAAGGAGCAGCCTTCTCAGAAGTCTCGGAACTTACAGGGCCTTCCGAGCAGTTTCTGAGCCTTCCCCGAAGAAGTCACACAGAACGCTGCTCAAAGGGCGCGAGGGCTTCTGAGAAGTCCCGCCGCCTTCTGAGAAGCCCTTCTCCTTCTCACTCCCCCCCCCTTCCCAAATCCCCAGCGTCCTGATTTTTTCATGACGTCCACCCCCAGGGGTGTCGACCCATTCCCAGGAACCGGTTATTGCCCCGCGGCCACGTCAGGGCCCCTAGAGGCTGAACATGGGGACGAACCTCCCGCCTTGTTTTTTCAATCACAACGCGAGGGGGTCTGGGCCCCCTTCCTCCTCGTCCTCCTCGTCCTCGTCCTCGCCCTCGCCCTCTTCCCCCTCCTTCTGAGAAGGCCTTCTCCTTCTCGCTCCACCCCCCTCGCTCCCCGCGGAGGACTGCCGGAGAGAAATCTCGAGCAGTTGCCCCCCGACGAGCCGCAGGACCCACGCCGCGCCCAGCGCGCCCGCCGCGAGCAGCACCGGCGCGCTGGTCTGCGCCGCGCCGCCAGGGCGCAGCCACCTCTCGGGCGCCAGGCGGGGGGCGGGCCGTCAGAGGCCCCGAGGCCTCCGACGCACGGGGCGGGGGTGGCGTCATGACAGGCTGCGGCGACAGCCCCCTCTGCCTCGATCCTCGATGATGCTCGGTCCTCCACCAGCCTACTCCGCCTCCTCCTCCTCCTCCTCGTCCTCGTCCTCCTCCTCCTCCGCCTCCTCCTCCTCCGCCTCCTCCTCCTCCTCTCCTCCTCGTCCTCGTCCTCGTCCTCCTCCTCCTCCTCCTCCTCTCTTCCTCCTCCTCCTCCTCCTCCCTCCTCCTCCTCCTCCTCCTCCTCCTCCTCCTCCTCCTCCTCCGCCCTCCCCCCTCCTCCTCCTCCTCCTCCTCCTCCTCCTCCTCCTCCTCCTCCTCCTCGATCCTTCTCGATTTCCGCGATGCCTCCCGAGACTTCTGCGATCCCCGCGGGGAGCGCGCAGGCCGTGGTTCGCGGTCCAGCGGCGCGGAAGCGAGAAAGAGAAGGCCTTCTCTCCAGATTGGCCTGCTCCGCGAAACGCCTGGCCCGCCCTTCCGACTGGCCTCGAGGTGCGACAAGGATGAGTTACTCATGAGGAACAGGAATGGAGGAGGAGGAGGAGGAGGAGGAGGACGACGACGACGACGAAATGGTTGAGGAGGACGAGGAGGAAGGGGGCCTACGTAACCCCCCTCGCGTTTTGAATATGTACATTTATATATATATAATATATATATATATATATATATATATATATATTGAACAATGACGGGAGGTTCTTCACTATTTTCAGCTCGGCGCAAGGGCCCCCGTAGGCCGAGACCTATGACAGATCCGAAGCCTCGAACTTCCCAAGACGTTGGATGCCTGGGCTCGTCGCCCTCCTCGTCGCAGAAGGGGAGGACGACAACGACGACGACGACGACGACGACGACGACGAGGAGGAGGAGGAGGAGGAGGAGGAGGAGGAGGAGGAGGAGGAGGAGGAGGGAGGAGGGGGAGGAGGGGGAGCGAGGAGCGAGGAGCGAGGAGCGAGACGGAGGGAGGAGCGAGGAGGGGGAGCGAGGAGGGGGAGGAAGAGGAGGGGGGAGGAGGAGGAGGGAGGAGGAGGAGGAGGAGGAGGAGGAGGAGGAGGAGGAGGAGGAGGAGGGGGAAGGAGGAGGGGGGAGGAGGAGGAGAAGGAGGAGGAGGAGGAGGAGGAGGACGAGCAGCCTTAGCCTTGAGCTTTTCGAGGCGTTGGCTGCCTGCAGCGTGCCCCGGCCTCGGTGCCCGAGGCCGCCTGCGCGCCGCTCGCTCGCCGACTCGGCGCCTGGGCCCCTCCCCCGCCCCCCTTCAAGGGGGCCCCAGGGCACACAAACAAATACTTTTAGTCAGCGGCCGCGGGCGAGCGCGCCGGCGGCGAGTCCAGTCAAAGCGGGGCACGCAGCGACGAATTTACCTAAAGCAACGGAGTGCGGCCTCACCTAAAGCGGCTAAACGGGACCTCGCGCAGCAGCTCAGCGGCGGACCGGCGAGTGGAGGGGGCAGCTGAACCTGAGTCGTACTGCCAGCGTGCAGGTATACATGGCGTCGGAAGCACCAGGAAGTCGGGACAAACGACGACCAGGGCCAACACAAACAAATACACACAAATAAAAATGTTCCCCAGATTTCCCACATATTTTGGGGGGTTTCGTCTTCCACCCCCACTTCCCATGTTTCCCCATTATTTTCTGGGGGATTGACGATTCGTTGTGTCTGCGTGTGTCTGCGTGTGTCTGCGTGTGTCTGCGTGTGTCTGCGTGTGTCTGCGTGTGTCTGCGTGTGTCTGCGTGTGTCTGCGAGTGTCTGCGAGTGTCTGCGTGTGTCTGCGTGTGTCTGCGTGTGTCTGCGTGTGTCTGCGTGTGTCTGCGTGTGTCTGCGTGTGTCTGCGTGTGTCTGCGTGTGTCTGCGTGTGTGCGTGTGTCTGCGTGTGTCTGCGTGTGTCTGCGTGTGTCTGCGTGCGTGTGCGTGTGCGTGTGCGTGTGCGTCTGCGTGTGCGTCTGCGTGTGCGTCTGCGTGTGCGTCTGCGTGTGCTGCGTGGTCTGCGTGTGTCTGCGATGTCTGCGTGTGTCTGCGTGCGGTGCTTGGTGCCGTGTCAGCGTGTTCGCTGCGTGTGCGTCTGCGCGGCGGAGCTGCGGTGGCGTCTGCGTCGGCGAAGCTGAGTGCGACTGCGTTGCGTCTGCGTCGTGAGTGCGTCTGCGTCTGCGTGTGCGAGTGCGTGTGCGTTGTTACGTGTGCCTGTGCGTGCGCGTGTGCGCGTGTGCGCGTGTGCGCGTGTGCGCGTGTGCGCGTGTGCGCGTGTGCGCGTGTGCGCGTGTGCGCGTGTGCGCGTGTGCGCGTGTGCGCGTGTGCGTGTGAGTGTGCGTGTGCGTGTGCGTGTGCGTGTGCGTGTGCGTGTGCGTGTGCGTGTGCGTGTGCGTGTGCGTGTGCGTGTGCGTGTGCGTGTGCGTGTGCGTGTGCGTGTGCGTGTGCGTGTGCGTGTGCGTGTGCGTGTGCGCGTGCGTTTGCGTGTGCGTGTGCGTGTGCGTGTGCGTGTGCGTGTGCGTGTGCGTGTGCGTGTGCGTGTGCGTGTGCGTGTGCGTGTGCGTGTGCGTGTGCGTGTGCGTGTGCGTGTGCGTGTGCGTGTGCGTGTGCGTGTGCGAGTGCGTGTGCGTGTGCGTGTGCGTGTGCGAGTGCGTGTGCGTGTGCGTGTGCGTGTGCGTGTGCGAGTGCGTGTGCGTGTGCGTGTGCGTGTGCGTGTGCGTGTGCGTGTGCGTGTGCGTGTGCGTGTGCGTGTGCGTGTGCGTGTGCGTGTGCGTGTGCGTGTGCGTGTGCGTGTGCGTGTGCGAGTGCGGGAGCGTGTGCGTGTGCGTGTGCG